AAAAAAAAAAAAAAAAAAATAAGAACCAAAAAAAGCAGCAAAAATTTGAACAGAATATTGGTTGAATATTTGAAAAAGTTGAATAATATTAATAGATCAGCAACAGTTTATAAAACAAATTTTTCTGAAAACTTTTTCAAATATAACATAGAAACGTCAACAGAAATAGCAGTCGAAAAAAAAACAACATAAAAGTTTGAAGAAAAACTATCATACCCAAATTGTATCCGCAGCAAAAGCAGTTTTTTTTTTTTTAAACGATACTCTAAAAATTTAAATCTAAAGTCTGCGGTCTTATTTACTCAATACTTAACAAAGAAAAAAAACAAAGATTAAATGGTAAAAATTATTTTTCACAACAGTCAAAATGCTACTGAATTTCATAACATTTTTTAAGCAATTTTTTTTTACTAAACAACAGAACAGTACGCAACAGTTTGTTCGCAAACATTGAGTACAAAAAAATAAAGTAATATATAGGGAAATTTTTGAATCTTAAACGATAAAAAATCAAGAAAAAAATTTATGCTATGAATGTCAAAAAAAAAAAACAAAAAACAAAACAAAAGGAAGTAAAAATTACTGACAGTAAAATCAAAAAAGAGAATCGTCATTATCACCATTATTCATCAACGTATCAAAACCAAATAAACCAATAAAAAGTAAAGTAGAAAATATTTTAAACAGTAAACGTAGCAGTAAAGTAAACAAATACAATAAGAATCCAAATTCAGAAATTTTTTGTCCATTTAATGAAGTTTTTGCTCTTCGTGACTGTTTCTGAAAGAAGCAATTGTATGAAGAAATCAATGAGAACGGACTAAAGTTGACGTTGGCTCAAGGCGACAACACCAGGTATCAGGCTACTGTGATATCAGAATGTAACGTTGCTGTCGACTATACTCAGTTTCAGAGCACTTCTGGTATCTTCTGAAAAATCCTGTCCTCATTCAAAATCTCAGAAGTTTGCCATTTTGTTTTCTCAACAATTTCAAGCATTTAAATCGACAAATTTAAAGCAGTACTGTTCTATAACCTTCTTCTGATTTTTATCACCTCTCCTTACTTCCTGCTTCACTTATCTTCTCCTCTTTCTTCTCCTCCTCTTGTTCCTCTTCATCGCCTGTAGCCATTTCTGTCAGCAATAAGCTACTGTGAACAAGAGATAAAACGCCGTTCCTCAACCGTCAGCGCTTATTTGGGGG